AAGACTTTCAAGTCTAATTTTTGTAGACCTGCTCGGCAGTCTGGACAGCCTGCAGTTTTGATCACTAAGCTTAGGTATGTTTTCTGCAGTTATTCCTAAGAGGGGAGAAGCAAAAAGACTTGCAACATGGTCCTACTTGAATAGCAATGCAGTAGTGGTAGGAAGTATCTTTATTATCTATACTATAGGCTCTTATAATTAGACTGTTAGAGTTGAAAGAGACTTGAGGCCTTGGGTGCAAGGGCTTACCTCTTCTACATTATTCTAGTCAGATAATATCTAGTATCTGTTGGACTACTAGTAGAAATAATTATATTTTTCCCTGTAAACTAATAATTTGACATTCATTCTAATTTCATATATTAGTCTCAGTATACTTAGCATTTGCCAGAATTCATTGCTGAAACCATGTGGAATAGGAATTTTCATTGTGAAAAATTTGATAACAAATTCAGTTTCTTTAATAGATTTAAGGTTATTCATATTTTCTGTTTTATCAGGGGTCCATTTTTGTAAGTTCTGTTTTTAAGGAATATATCTTTTTCATTGAATTTGTCAAACCTATAAGTATAATAAGTATAAACTTATTTCCAGTAGGCTCCTATTATTAAATATCTGTAGATGATTTAGCATGTTGTAATGTATCCTCTTTCATTGCTGATATTGGTAATTTATATTTTTCTTTGTTTGATCAATCTCAATAGCTAGTTGACAATTTTATTGATCTTTTCAAAGAACTAGCTTTTAGCACTTAATTTTCTCTGTTTTGTTTGATTTTTATTTCATTGATTTTTGATCATTATTTCCTTCTACTTAGTTTGGTTTTTATTTGATCTTCTTTCTACTTTTTGAAATTGGAAACTTAGGTCCTTTATTTTAAATCTTCCTGATTTTCCAATATAGCATATAAAGCCACAGATTTCTTTCTAACTACTGTTTTAGCTGTAATCTATAAAATTCTCTCAATACTTTGAGGTAATAATTGATATAAACTGCACATATGTAAAGTATACAAATTTGACATATGAATAACCCATGAATCTAAACCACAGTTGAGATAATGACCCTATTTATCATAAAAATGTACTCAATGTCTCCCTCCTGATCCCTGACAACCACTGATTAGCTTTCTGTCACAAAAGATTACATTTTCTAGATTTTTAGATGAATGGAACTATAAAATATGTATAATTTTTATCTGATGTCTTTAACTCAGCATAATTATTTAGTATTCATTTATATTTTTGTATCAAGGGTTCGTTTATTCTTGCGACAGAATAGCATTTCATTTTATGAATATGCCATAATTTATCATTTATCTATTGCAGACACTTAGATTTTTCTAGTGTCTGAGTTTTACAGATAAAACTGTTATGAAGATTTACATACAAGTGTTTGTGTGGACATAAATTTATTTTGGAAGATAGCTAGGAATGGAATCACTGACTCATATGAAACATGTATGTTTATTTTTTTAAAAAAAAATATAGGGTCTCCCTATGTTGTCCAGGCTGGTCTTGATCTCCTGAGCTTAGGTGATCCTCCCATCTCAACCTTCCAAGTTGCCGGGACTACAGGCACATGCCACCATGCCTGGTTCAATGTTTATGATTTTAAGAAACTGCCAAACTGTTTTCTAAAGTGGTTATATCATTTTACCTTCCTCAAAGCAATATATGAGGGTCCCAACTCCTCCATAACTTTGGTATAGTAAGTTATTGTAGATTCAGCTATTCTAATACGTGTGTAGTAGTATCTCATTATGGTTTGAATTCACATTTCCTGATAACCAATGATTTTGAGCATCTATTCATATGCTTATTGGAAATATCTATTTAAGTCCTTTGCTTAACCAGATTGTTTGTTTTATTATTACTGACTTTCAGGAGTCCTCTATATATTCTGGATATGATATATCCCTTATCAGATACGTCATTTGCAAATATTTTTTCCAATTCCATATGTTGCCTTTTTACTCTGTTAATAGTCCTTTAGTGCATAAAACTTTGTGAATTTCATTTTGTCTAATTATTTGTTATTGTTGCATGTGCCTTTGCTATCATATCAAAGAAGTCACTGCCAAATGCAATGTTATGAAACTTTTCTCCCATGTTTTCGTCTAAGAGTTTTATGGTTTTAGCATTCACATTTAGATCTTTGAACCATTTTTAGGTACCTTTTGTATATGGTGTTAAGTAGGGTCCAATTTCATTCTTGCAAGTGGATATCCACTTTTCCCAACATCATTTGTTGAAAAGAATGTCCTTTCTCTATTGAGTAGTACTGACACCCCTGTCAAAAATCATTTGGTAGTCTATATGAAGGTTTATTTCTGGGCTCTCTATTCTATTTCACTGATCTATATGTCTGTCTTTATGTTAGTCCCACACTGTTTTGATTTCTACAGCTTTGTAGCTGGTTTTGAAATCAGAAAGTTTGGGACCTCAACTTTGTTCTTATTCAAGATTGTTTTGGCTAATCAGGATCCCTTGAGATTTCATATGAACTCTAGAATGTGCTTTCTGTTTATGTAAAAAACATTGAGATTGGAATTTTGATAGGGATTGCATTGCCTCTTTGTAGATTGTTTTGGGTAGTATTGATGTCTTAACAGTTAGTTGTAAGTCTTTCAATCCATGAACATGGGCCATCTTTCTATTTGTTGGTATCTTTAATTTCTTTTAGCAATGTTGTATAGTTTCCAGTTTATAGGTCTCTCACCTTCTTGGTTAAATTTTTTCCTAAGTATTTTTCTCTTTTTGATGCTATGGCAAATGGAATTGTTTTCTTAAGTTTTTTCAGTTGTTTATTGTTAGTGTAGAGAAACACAACTGATTTAGTGTGTTGGGTTTGTATCATGTTACTTATCTTTTTGTTTTTGTTAAATCTTTAGGGTGTTTTACATAAAGATCATGTTGTCTGTTTTACATATGAGATCATGTCATCTGCTATATAATTTTACTTTCCAATTTGAGTACCTTTTATTTATTTTTCTTGCCTAATTTATCTGGCCAAAACTTTAAATAACATGATGAATAGAAGTGATGAAAGCAGGCATCCATGTCTTGTTCTAATCTCAGAGTAAAAATTTTCAGTCTTTTACCATTGAATATGATGAGTAGCTGTGGGTTTTTTGTATACAGCCAGTATAGTGTTGAGGTCATTGTTGTTTTTTTTTTAATCCGAGTTTCTAGGGTGTGTTTTATCATGAAAGGATGTTGAATTTTGTCAAATGATATTTCTGTACCAATTGAAATGATCAAGTAGTGTTTTTCCTTCCTTCTGTTAATTTAGTATATTACATTGCTTGTTTTTTTTTATATGTTGAACCATCCTTGTTTCCCAGGAATAAATCCTGCTTGGTTTGCTATAATTTTGTTCAAGATTTTGCATCAATATTTATAAGAGATATGTTAGCCTGTAGTTTTTGTGTAGTATGTTTGTTTGACTTTGGTATCAAGGTGATGCTGACTTCATAGAATGAGTAAGGAAGTGTTTCTTCCTCTCTTCCTCCTCTCTTCAGTTTTTTGGAAGAATTTGATAAAGATTGAAATTAATCCTCTTTTTTTTGAGTCAGAGTCTCACTCTGTTGCCCAGACTGGAGTGTAGTGACAGGATCACAGCTCACCACAGCCTCAATCTCCTGGGCTCAAGGCAATCCTTCCACCTTAGATTCCCAAGTGGCCACTACAGGCATGTGCCACAATGCCCTGCTAATTTTTTATCTTTTGTAGAGACAAGGTCTTACTATGTTACCTAGGCTGGTCTTGAATTCCTGGACTCAAGCAATTCTCCTTCCTCAGCCTCCCAAAGTGCTGGGATTACAGGCATGAGCTACTCTACTCAGCCTAATTCTTTTTTATATATTTGGTAGAATTCACCAGTGAAACCATCTAGTCCTGGAATTTTCTTTGTTGGAAGGTTTTTGATTACTGATTCCATCTCCTTACTCTAGTTATAGACCTATTGAAAGTTTCAGTTTCTTCATGATTCAGTTGTGGTAGGTTGTGTATTTCTAGGATCTAATTTCCTTTTGATTTCATTTTTGATCCGTGGGTTATTTGAAAGTATGTTGCTACTTAGTCCCCAAATATTTGAGAATTCTTTCCAGAGATCTAGTTTGTGTGTACCTGAAAAAAATATGTATTTTGCTTTTGTTGGATGTAGTGTTCTGTAAATGTCCATCTGATCAAGTTAGCTGATTGTATTGTATAAGCCTTCTGTATATTTTCTAATTATGTGCCTACTTGTTCTTTCCTTCATTGAAAGAGTGGTATCGAACTTTCTGACTGTAAAATCTATTTCTTTTTGCAGTCTATCAGTTTTTACATTGTGTGTTTTTAAGCTATTAGGTGCAGAGATGTTTAGGATTGTTGTATACTTCTGATGTATTGCCCCCCCCTTTTTTACAAACTGACCCTATTTATACTTGGTAGTAGTCTTTGCTCTGAAATCTTGTGCTATCATGATATAATTTGAACCTTTATAGTTAAATTGTGTTTCTTGTAGGCAATATGTAACTGGGTCTTTATCTCATCTGATGGTCTCTATCTTTCGTCTTTTCTTCCTTGGACTAAACATCCTTTTATTATGGTTTGGCTGAAATTTTTGCTAAATTCTTCACTATTTTAATTAAATTCTTTGGGGCATGCTTTGCTTTAAAAGGATATTGCATCACAATGGACACTTTGGATTGCCTTTTGTAAGAAGTTGATTATCACCAAATATCTATTATCTATTTAGTTCCTCCTCATTTTGATTAAAACCAATTTGGACCATCCATTCCATTTTCCTTACCTACCCTAATTATATTTTTTATCTTGACTGACTGCTCACTTTTTGAGCTCCAGAAAAATTTTGAAGGGATCTATTAACTGTTCCTCTAAAATATCTATTTTATCTCATTTAACCAATTCTAGTTGAATTATTTTGAATGTGGGTCAAATAAAACTAGATTTTCACTAAAAGCATATTAAAATGTTTGCCTTCTTTTCCAGGTAAAAATGTCTCCGTCATACCATCAACTCAAAGGAGATCCTACAGCTAAGAAGGTGAGTTTTAAAAGCAAAAACCCAATTCCTGCTTCTGTGTGTTTATCCTCCTCTGTTGAAGAGTTTGCTCAAAATGGCAATAATTTTTAATCATCTTGGTGCTGTCAGTGGTTCTTTCTAATTGAATTCTTTAATGATATGTCAGCAAGATTCCTTGGCTCTTCCAGAGAAGCCAAGTTAGGTTTTTGGCATCAGTCTCCTGGCAACTACGGACTGTCAGTGTTCTAGAATTTCCATCTTCTATACCAGGCATGGCATCTTGCTATCAGTGAGTGGGATCAGATGAAAGATATTCTAAGGAGATAAGCTATATAGTTTTTCTTAATAATTTGCTTTCTATAACAAAAAGCTGGCATAGATAATGAATATTTCAGCACATACCACATAAGAAGGTCCTCAGTAAATACTGGGAGAATAGAACTCTCGTCTGTACCACTTCTTGACTATAAGCTTTGTGGCACATATGAAGTGTGAGTCTCACTGGAGCAATGCACAGATGATGTCAGTCAAGAGAACCACTAAAATCCTTTTCTTTATCCAGCTGTATCAGTACAATTGAAACATGGTAAACAGGCTGACATTTCTGCTCGTTTCTTTTACCATTTTCCTATCTCTAACACTTGAAGTGTTTTATTCTTTGCCCCCTCCCCCTTTTTTTTTTTACAATTTCAGCCAGCACCCATGTCAACGAAGAACTGTAGAGCAAAAATAACAACTTGCTGGTTCTGTTGACTACTAGCAGGTTTTAGCTTCAAAGAAGTGTGCCAAAAATGGATCCCTTTTTTTGCCTTCAGAATCCCCTGAGACCTTTTCAAAAGAGAAGAGAATAAAAACAAAATGTGTTGTCTAAAAAGTCCAATAACGTGCTGTACATGAAAATTTATTTTACTCCTGTCAAGGCAGCAAAGAGTAGGCTAGACCAAGGCAATGACCGTTGCTGCTGAGAACTATCCCACTGTAACATGAGGAGCTGGGGGAGTCTAAGTCACTTAAGTCTCACTCAGTAAACAAATGAGGAATTTTTTTTTCTCTAAGCTCTCCAGTGTTAGTTATTTGAACACACCTTGAACATAGTGATTAAAAACATGTGCTCTGTATATAACCAGACTTGGGTTCAGTATTTGGTCTTCTACTTATTTATCTCAGTAACCTTGAATAAGGTAGCCTCTCTGTTTCCTCCTGTGCAAAATGATGATGCTATTTCTCAGAATTGTCCTGAAGATTAAATGAAACACTGTAGAGCGCAAGTGCCTAAAATTCTGTTTGACACATAGTAAGTACTGAAGCTGTTGTTGACGCTAGTATTAAAACACAGATCCCCCTGACAGAATCCTAATCAGATGTCCTCTTGCTTCATCGTGCCACTTATATAATAAGCAATTATAATCAACCGTTCAGCAAGTATAATCAACCCTCTGTATCCATGGGTTCTGCATCCATGGATTAACCAACCACAGACTGAAATTGTTTGTTGTTTTTTTTTTTGAGTTGGAGTCTCACTCTGTCGCCCAGACTGGAGTACAGTGGCCGCTTCCGGCCACCGCAGCCTCGACCTGCTGGGCTCTGGCGATCCTTCTGCCTCAGCCTTCCGAGTAGCCGGAATCACAGGCGTGTGCTACCATGCCCGGCTGATTTTTTGATTTATTGTAGAGATGAAGTCTTGCTGCCCAGGCGGGTCTCGAACCTGCGGGCTCAGGCAATCCACTCACCTCAGCCTCCCAAAGGCGCAGGATTACAGGCTGAGCCACTGAGCCCGGCTTGAAATTGTTTTTTTAAACCAATGAAAAATAACAATACAACAATTAAAAGTGATACAAATAAAGCAACACAATATAATAACTTTACATAGCATTTACATTGTATTGTGTATTATAAGGAATCTAAAGATAAAGTATATGGAAGAATACGCATAAGTTATATGCAAATACTATGCCATTTTATATAAGGGAGTTAACATCCACAGATTTTGGTATCCAAGGGGGTCCTTGGAACCAGTACATTACAGATACTATGGGATGGCTGAATTCCTTTATATTAGATACCAAACTAAGCAGTGGTCTACAGGGATGAAAAATATAATCCTGTTCTCAAAGACCTTATCACTTTTCAGGAAAGGCAGACAGGTAAATTGATAATTACCAAACATGCCGTGGAAGGTACACAGGGTGCTGCAGGAGCACCAAGGAGAAGCCCTGTTTAGAAATCACTAAGTGAATTTAGTGCAACTTTTATGTTCTTCATGGTAGAAAGCTTCATGAAAAATTTGAGGAATGGTTAGCTGCTCCCTTATAGTCTTATATAGGTTATAGTGAAAGCAAATTCTGCCACATACATAGGGCATTTATTAAATAGATACTCATTTAGAAATAGGTTCATGCAAACTATTTTTCAAACTTAGTACTATGTCCCAGCCTTTTGTCATTTTAGGTGTCCAATCTCTATCAAAGATGTGACAACATTATAGAAGCAAGATTCTGTTACTCTTGTAATCAGCATTAGGCAAACTTCCTAAGACAATTAGAAACTTCCTAAGACAATGACTGGACATAGATGGCCCTGGCAGAATTCCTAAGTGATTAGATGTAGACTCTTGCCCTCTTTATGTGCAAGAGTTAGGACTGTCGCTAAAATATTTATTCAATCTACCTATCTTGAATAGCTTTTATCAGTGAGAGTTCATTTCCAATATTCATCATGATGATTAGCAAGTCATTAATTTTGCCAATAAAAGTATTTTGAGCTAGTGAGCAAAGTCTTAGTGATGGTCAGTATATATGACCAGATGTAGGGCTTTTAGTAGCTGCCTTTGGGAGTTTATGTTAGCTGGTCACTTCTGAAATACGGATTCTTTTTTTTTTTTTTTTTTTTTGAGTTGGAGTCTCACTCTGTCACCCAGACTGGAGTGCAGTGGCCGCTCCCGGCCACCGCAGCCTTGACCTGCTGGGCTCCTGCGATCCTTCCGCCTCAGCCTTCCAAGTAGCTAGAACTACAGGCGTGCGCCACCACACCCGGCTACTTTTTGATTTATTGTAGAGATGAGGTCTTGCCAAATTGCCCAGGCAGGTCTCGAACCCACGGGCTCAGGCAATCCACTTACCTCAACTTCCCAAAGCATGGGATTACAGGCTGAGCCACCGAGCCCGGCTGAAATACGGATTCTTAATTAGGGCCACTAACTGCGCCTGAGTTGAAGCCCAAACTATATAGCACATACTTATTATCACATTGTGTGTGGTGTCTATAGTTACTTTACAATATGCATCTTAGCAGATGGCTATCCCAGGCTAGGGGGTCAGGAAAGGCTTCCCAGAGGAGGTAAAGTCTAATCCAGCCTTGAGAAACAAGGGAAAAGGTATCCTAGGCAGACATGGGTAAGTACAGCATGTTGTAGGAAATGGCGGTGGTTCTGTATATCCTAAATATGAAAGCATAGGGAAGTCTGGTGAAAGATAAATGAGGGTTCATATCACAAAGAGCCCCAATCAATCTGTGAAGTTTGCTTTTTATCTTGAGAACAACAGTTTCAATGAAAGGTAAGATTAAAGGAAAAGACCAATCTTAAGAATAAATTGTCCAAGCAAGTAAAAAGGCCTAACTCTAAGCTGTTTTAATGGAATGAATAGTTGAGATAGATTCAAATCTTAGCTAATTTTTTGTTCCCTCAGAAAACTCTGACACCCTCCCTAAGTCTTTGTGTCCTTTCTTCTTTGAGTTAGTCCTGATCTAGTCCCTACCAACACACTCACCTTGATGTTTTGAGATTGCCTCTCTACTTAATGTGTATTTCCCATTAGCCTGTACACCTCATGAGGACAGGAATCACACCATTCATATTTGCTGTTGTATCCTTAAATGTAGAACAAAGTAGGAACTAGGTCGTTGTTGCATGAGAGTTATATGAAAGAGATCCTGCAGGATTGTGTGGTTGTTTATGGGACATGAGGGAGAAAAAGTTGTTTCTGGCCTGGGACAACTAGAGGAAAAACACATGAAACATTGTTGCTGTCCCAGGTTTGTAGTCCTAGCATGGTCAGTTTCTTACTGAATCAGCAATACTCTGAGTGAGATTTACATGAAGATCAATGTGAAGCTCAACACCTAATTATTATTTTCCCTAGTTGGGTATACATTTTTGTGTATATGTGCTTGTGTATGCGGCCTGTATGTCTACTTATATATTCTGGTTCTTGTCCTTGAGCTGCAGTCTCTCTTCTCAGAGTTTCATTGACAGATGGAAGCAGCAGTAGTTTCTGTTGAACAGAGTGACTGCCAAAGTGACATGTGTAAGAAACACAAAGGAAGCAATAGTGTTCTTGATTTTGCCAGAATCTCTGTTGACCGGTAACTGAAGGAAGTGTTTGGTGACTCTGCTGTCAGTATTGGCCCTGCCAAGATCAGGATCCAAGTGCTGAGGAAACAGGAATCCTGTCCTGTTGGGCTCTGCTCACTTATTGAGACTTCTTAGATGTCTCGTGTTGGAGTCTCTTTTCAGAATGTCAGAGTTCCCCTCGGTTGCCACATGTCAGAATGCGAGGCAATTCCATAGCATGTATCTCTTCACAAGCATTTTGCATTATAGTTATTCTTTATGAAAGTTCTAGATTTGAAATATTTCTTGTGTGAATATTTAAAGTGTTTAAAAATTTGTATATAATATTTATTTTGTGTATATAAAATTTCTTCTTAATGGGCTCTAACTGATAACTTCAGTAACAAAGTCTTAAAATATACATGGTTCCCTAGGACCTTTACAGTGTTTGATCATAGATGACCAGAAATCTAAAAATCAGGAATCATTGCCTTCAGATAAAAATTGACATGAAAGCCCATTACAATGAACTTCCTAGAACAGATCCAAATTGGAGGTGTTGACAATTAAAGGAGTTTAGAGAGTAAATTGAAGGCAGTATTAAAAACCAATCAATTATGATGCATTTTTCCTAAAACACCAACTAAGAATTTTTGTAGCAAAGTTGGGTCTGTTACATACATAATAACCA